CCTTTCTTCACATGCTGGGGAAGAAGCCTTTTCCTAGACATAGCCCCGGTTGCCCTGAGTCTCAGGTCTTAAGTGCTGTGCATTGCACCCACCAAGAGGAGCAGCCTCCACAAAGCTGAAACACTGCAACCAATGTCTGCTCATGCACAAGAGACATCCAGCAAGCCTCCTCCACAAAGCACCTGCACAAAACCCTGCTGGGAGCTACAGCAGCTGCAGCAGCCTACATTTTGAACATCAATTGCTCAATGTTGTGCAGCTGCAGGTTGGCCAGGGGAAATGGAGTTAAACATTTTTAAAAACGTTACTGAACAAGCAGTTTAGAATTAGGATAATACAAGGGGGAATGGCAGGAGGGGAAAATGGGATATAAAAAAGAGGAGGAGAAGAAAGGAGAAATGAATCCCTAGAGTTAAAAAGATGCACAGCAGGGAAAAAAAAAAGTATTCATAGATGATCAGGAACGTAACAGGTAACTTATAGAAAACAGATTCAAATCAGCATTAGACAATAGTAACAGCGTAAAGACATACAGGGGGAATGAGGAGCGATCCTGACAACCTCCTAGCACGAGGTCGTGTGCACAGAGCAGGGGGACAGGAGGAGGCTTGTATCCCAACCCTGGAGACTCCCGGATCCTCACCAAGGACTATCAGTATGGGCACCAAGGACTACATCCCAACTGCCAAAGAGACCAGGGGGAAATGGAGTGCCTTCGGAGACCAAGAACTCTGAGGTCATCCACCCCATCTGGTACTACCACATGGGATGGACAAAGCCCAAATCCTTCCTTGCAGTGTCCAAGGGCATCAGAACAACAGCCAGGAATCCTGAGCGGTCCACAGAAACAGAAGAACAGTAAACTTGCGTCAGCAGTAGGGAGAGGAGCTTTCTCTGGTCCTTACTTAGTTCCATCTTTGGATCCTCATCCTCTCTTGCAATGAAAATCAGGGTAGCTCTGGAACCCAACCCCCCCCCAACACACACACACACACACACATTAGAACAGAGAAAATAACAAAAAAAAGTTAGAACGAGACAGGAAATGGTCAGCGTGGACTCACACATACCTTACTAGTAGGACACAAAGATTAGTTACTCCTCACTAGGGTATGGAAGATTTCTCTGCACACCTCTCCTAAAACTGTTCTGCACTTCAACTGTTGACATATGCCTTGTTAGACTCATAAGCCAGTCTAGACTATCCTGAAGTCTGCCAAGTTCAGCAAAATTATGCTTCAACACTATAATCTGCTAAGGAAAAAAATGAATATAGATACGAGACAGCTGAATGTCTACCCTACTGCCATTTTAAGGTGTATAGAACCCGGTAGCATATAAACTAAGAGTGAAATGTCAATGAAGTAATCACAGGATGTGGTTAAGAACTTGCATTTTTTTTAACATACTGATGACTCAATACCATGTCAATTAAATTCCATAATGTTGTAAATTGTTGTTGATGTTATGTTGTGGCTTTAAATTGATCTGGATGATAATCCTCCAGCTCTACCTTCAGACCAGAGATGGTCTGCCCAAGAAACCATTGAATTTATCTGGACAATACAATGCTGGACTCTGTGCTTGGTATACACTTGCAATGAAAGAATCTCAACTGATTTTGAACTGTATTACTGCAACAAAGTGGAGGAACCCACCATACGGGGAGGGGTTGGGAGAATCCCAGAGCCTATGACACTGTGTCACATAAAGCAATGTAATTAATAATAATAAAAACAAGAATTCATAGATGAAAGGAATGTGCGTTTTACAACTGCTTCACTTTTTATTATTAATTGCATTACATTATGTGACACAGTGTTATGGGCACTGGGATTCCCCCCACCCTTCCCCGAACCCTCTCCCCATGGTGGATTTCTCCACCTTGTTGCATTACCACAGTTCAAATTTGGTTGAAGTTCATTCATTGGACATATTTACCAAGCATAAAGTCTAGCATCTTATTTTCGTAGTGGGTTCAACTATTTCATGGTGAGACCATCTCTGGTCTGAAAGTAAAGCCACCAAAGTATCATCCCAATCAGTTAAAAGCCCCGACATAACATCCAGAAACCTCTCAAAACAAATGAACAAACATACAAACAAACAAAAAATCTACAATGGACAGAAAACAACAAGGAAACCTTAGACAGGAAAATGGCCAGCATGGATTCAATCATGCCTCACTAGGTGGGACACAAACATTACTTACGCCTAACTGGGGTATTTGGGGATTTCTCTGTACACTCATCCTAAAAAAATGTTCTGTACCTAAACTGAGGGCACATGCCTTGCTAGAGTTATAAGCCAGTTCAGACCATCCGAAAAACAACTAAGTTCAGCAAAATCATGCTTCAACACTAAACTGCTAAATACTAAAATAAAAATAGACGAGACAGCTGAATAGTAATCTAGAGCCATTTTGAGGTATAAGGAATCCGGTTGAATGTAAACCAAAAATTGAAACGTCTATGAAGAAGTCACAGAATGTAGTTAAGAACCCGCATTTTCCTATTAACATATTGTTAATCAATCCCATGTCAGTTAATGCCATAAGGTTGTAAATGGGTGTTGATGTTATGTCAGGGCTTTTAACTGATTGGGATGATACTTTGCTGCTTTACCTTGCGACCAGAGATGGAAAGTACACTTTTTGCAATAAAAACATAACCTTAAAGTTGAAAATATGCCCAATTGTAAGAATATGTGAAAAAACTCTTATTGTATGAATGCATATAATAGCAGATTAATAAAAACCCAATACCTTCACAATCTAGAATAAAATCAAATGCAAAAATATCTCATAAGATTTATGTTTAAATCATGTTTATTTAAAAGTTGCAAGAAGGTTCACAGTGAGCAAAAAAGACACTTAAGTAAGAGACATTACGAAAAGAGAAAAGTTGAGAGATGACAAGATTATATGGGCTGAGTGATTAAAATTAGTTTGAGATTTCCTTCTTGGTTTGCAGATGTTCCGGAGCTGGTTAAAGATGGTGTACAGAGGAACACACACTGGATTTCAAATTGGGTGGGTGGAAAAAAATCCAGCGAAACAAAGAGACTAACGAGGATAATCCTTTGTGCACACATTTCTCACTGCAGAAAGAAATAGGAAAAAAACACAGAATAAAAAAATAATTTCTAACAAAATCTAAATAGAATCATACCTTAATGTCAAACCTCAACAATACTAAGAAAAATATAACACCTTCAAGCAAAAAATAACATACTGTATTTGGGAAGATAAAATTTTTATTCACATTAAAACAATGAAAAAGAATTGTTATCAAGCACATACTACAGTCAATTCTATCATCTAGCGCATACGGCATGGCCAAAAAGCACATATTTATACAAAGAAATGATTATTTGAAAATTATTTCCTAATACATGCTAAAAATATTTTCAGGAAAATTGGTGTTAAACAGCAAAATGGAGAACACTAAAATAATTTAAGAAATTCATTATTCATTTTCCCAGTACCTGCAAAACACTTGTTACTACTGCATAGATACTGAACCTCAGGTTTATAATCAAATTAGTAAAAAAAAAAAGAAAAAAAAAAGTAGGTAAATATCCATATACTGAGGAGATGAAACAAACAGCTAAAGGGTAATAACTTGATGGAATAATTCCTAGAAGTAATTCATAATAGAGCTACACAAAGACTAAGAAAAGTTACAGGAGAAAAACAAAATTCAACAGGAGACAAACAAAATAATTTGATAGCATTTAAAATCAGAAAGTTGAAGAAATAAAAATTTTTTTTCATGGATTAAAATGGGATGCAAGAATTATTTTAGTCAATTAATTTGGTCTGTAATTATACCTCTCTCATAAAAATGAATCTTAAAAAACAAAAAACAAAACAAAAAAAACCAAACCAAACAAAAAACAACCATTACAACCCTGGTGCATCCTCCCTGTAGCCCTGCCTTTCAGGTACAGAAAAATAAACCTTACCAAAACCCCAATTTCCTAAACAAAGATTCCATGGCGCGTCCAATGATACCATGTGTGAACGTGCCTACTGCGATGCCATCACCTCTTAAGCCATGCCATCGCAGCCATGTGCACACAGATCCAAGAGTCCAAGATCACCTCTGACCCTCACGCTCACTCTCATAATGCTTGTCCGTTAAATGGTACAACTGACAACAACACCATAGAAACCCAATATTGCCACCTGATAACCCTATGCTTCCTACGCCAATACACAGCCTTTCCTGAGCGAATCTCTTATCAAACTTTGTGTTGTCTTTCACAAGTTCTTCCTGTTGTCCACTCACCATGGATACCCAAAGGCCTAGATTGCCCAACTCCAGACAGTGCCATGAGGCTGTTGAAGGAAATGAATGATGGGAAAACAGTAGTTTGGCTGCGGACATCTTAGCCAAATGCAAGTAGGACTGGCTGAAAAGTGGGCAAACACTTGGCTGCACCCAAAAGTGTATGTGAAAATGTTTCACACAAAATTCATTTTACCTGGCATTCCATTTCCCAGGCACAAGGAAAATTGACATCAGACAAGACAATTTAACAGGATTTTATAAATCATTTGTTACATGACAATTGATTCTACGGTTACCTGTGTCTTTGTGATTGGTGGATGTGAAGATTCAAGCAATCAATATCACCAGTGTCACCCAATACCACCAGTGTCACCCAACGCATAGGGTGCTGCTTGTTTATTTGTTATCAGGGGCAAAAGGAAACAAGTGGGTTTCTGAAGTATTACAATATGTATGCAACTGCCCATCATTTGGATGATTCACATGAAGGCTGTCTATGGTTGGCTGGCTCCCTTCACAATTATGAAAAGGCCTGCTTCACTCACATGGCATTAGAGTCAGTTTTGGCTTTTGCTTTCTCTCTCATGAGTAGATGAGCCACGGTCAAGTGAGCATCTATTTCATGAACAAACTAGTGTTTCGTCTTTGTAGTGTGCAAGGAAGAGAAAAAAAAATTCCCTGACAAACCAAATCACATACCTCCAGCATTCGGTGGGGGTGGCCATATGCCAGGAACCCCCGTTGGCAAACATTTGGAAGCAGGGCTGGCTGGCAGAGCTCCTGCAGGGGGGCGAGCGTGAGGAGGCCCTACCCTTCGGAACGGATTTGGTAGAACAGTTGGGCAATTGGCTGGATGAGCCGTAGCTGTTGTCCCCTGGAAATCACACAATTCTGTTTTCTCGCAGGGAACTGCTGGCACAGTTAAGCTGCAGGTCTGTAACAAAATCACATAAATCTGATATCACTAACAATAAAAAATGCAAAATTCATACACAAATATTTAGGGACATAATCATAAGAAACCCAAAATATACAGACTAAGTGGTCCAGAGAAACATCAGATGGGTTTGAGCTATCGCAACTGTGTGGTCAAAGAACAGAAAGCAGGTTTGGACAACACAGCAATATTCTGGCTAAAGAGAATGCACAGACACAGGCCAGGAGATCCGCAATGCAGAGTACCTAGCACGCTTAGCCCGAGAAGGGAAAGAACAAGTGGGCAGCTGACTCTAGATGTGGCGGAGGACCACACTGAAATACTCAGGAAGGTAGACTCTCAAAACATTACGTCCAAATATTCCTGTGTAAATCCAAAGGGGGAAACCAAATCCCCTGCTACACTGGTGTACTCCCTGAGAGGTGTCAACTCAGAAAAGAAACAGATTTCTAGAGAAAAAAATTACAGGGGCATGTCTGTTCTGTTCCACACACACACCACACAGGTAAAATTACACTGTCAGGACTTACCTCCAGCTTGTCTTGGTGAGGTTTGCTGTTCGACGCTTGCTCAGACGATGGGTTGGGAAGTAGACATTCTTAAAAAGAAAGAAAGGAAAAAAAAAAAACTATGAACATCGTGGTTCTTATTTTGTTCTTGGGACGTTTCTGGATCACAGGGGACACTGTGATATCTCCCACATCCAGGGCGGTGCATAAGCCAGCGTGACACTTGCATCCTTAGCCATGGCCACAAGAATACCCCGAGACCACTGGATCTCCTGCTCTGCCAAATTCTCTACAGCCAAATGAAGCTGAGGTTTCTCCAGCTGGGACTTAGCAACCCACCTGCTGCAGCAGCAGCTTTGAGAAGTTGTCCACAGAGTAGCACCTCTCTTCTTCCTCCCATTCTGTTCCTGCTCCCTCATTCTTCCTTCAATGAGTACTGGCCAACCTTAGACCCCCGCTGGGCAATACGTGTTCCTGGACTCTACCATCGGGAACTGCTCAGGGTCCGAGGACATCCATTCAGACCTCCCTCCTGGGAATACAACTCTTTGACCCTTCCCTTGCCTTCTCGGCTAGTCACTCACACTGCAGCTCGCTTGGTGCTCGGACCTAAGGGTTAGTTCCCCGACCTCTCAGCATCCTCACTTGCTCACTCCTCTCCCGATTCACCAGACTCCACGATCCATCAGTTCGGACACTTGCCAACATCCTTGTCCTACAAGTCATTTTCATTTCGTACTTGACTGACACCACGCCAAGCCTGCATCAATCTGAGCCTCACACATACCTTTACCTACTCCTGAGTCCCTTGGACAGCTAGAAGAGGTGGAAAACTAAGAGCCCTCAAACTCCCCACCCTGGGAAAACACACACACTCACTCACTCACTCACAACAGCCCACATCTAGGACAACTGGAACCTCAACATTTCAACCTGATCATCTCCTTCAACATACTGCCGGTTTCATAGTGCCTGGCCTTCCATCTGTGACATGGAAGCAAGGTTGCTCCTCAACACCTGACAACATCCATCCTCCTGAAACGCACCTACACACGCTATGTGGTCACTGAATGATGAAGACTGTGAGCTGGCACATTTGGAATGCACAAGGTATCAGATGCTTCATATCCATTAATCTTCACCAACATACTAATGGCCACCATGGGGAGCACTGGCTGCTGCTCTGTTTTCTAATCCCGCTCGCTGCTTCCAAACCAGGAAAACCAGCAGAGGCGGGCCCAAGGCCATCGCACCCTGCAGACACACGGCAAATTCTGACTATACTCCTGGCACCCACCATCAGAACGACCCGGATTTGGGCTGTGGTTTTTGTGGAGTCGGGCAGAGGACGCAAGCTCTCTTGTCACTTTTTGCTCTGTGTGACTCTGCTACCTCTCCCCTAAACATCAACTACTCTCCAGAAAACAAACAAACAGAAGAATCCAGAGACCCAACATGCAGCCCACACACCCCTGGTGCCTCCTCCCTGTAGCCCTGCCTTTCAGGTACAGAAAAATAAACCTTACTGATACCCCGATTTCTTATACAATTATACCATGTTTTTTCCAATGATACAGATTGTGAAGATGCCCTTGAAATGCCAGCATCCCTTGTTTTTATGATTTGTTTTTACCTGGTGCACCTCACACCCTGCTCCCTGCTCAAGTTCCTTGGAAATTAGTGGAAATTTGATCAATTGCACCAGCCGTGGTCCTTCCTGTGGAAAACACCCACAGGTCTTTGCCCTTGGCTTCATCGTGCCATACACCATGGCATCACAGCCATGTGTGGACTGACCCTAGGGAGCTAAGGTCAATTCTGTCTATCATGTTCACTCTAATACTTTCTTTCAGTTAAATCAAACACCAACAACACATAATATAAAAGAAATATTTGCACCGGATATAATCAAGCACCTCAGTTGCAATAGACAGCCTTTTCTGAGGAAATCATTCACCAACATTTTCATTGTCTTTCGAAAGTTTTACCTGCGGTTGATACCCCATGAATAAGTAGTTACATAGATTGCCGAACTTCAGACAGTGGCCATATGATTGTTGAAGGAATTGTGCAATAGGAAAACAGTATCTAAGGACACCTTATTTAAATACTGTTAGGACTGGCTGAGTAATTAGTGGACACTTAGCTATATTTTGATTTTTATATTTTGTTTTCTGAATGTTAGTTTAAAACAGTTCACACTATTTTCAATGTATCACTTGAATAAATCCTTCAAACATCACATTGTGTAGCATTTGGAGAGCTTTTTTCCTCGTAATTTTTAACTTTGATTTTGTCTGGTTGATTAGTAGAGCCTGGCCCTTTCCTTTCTACATGCACATCTTTGCTAAACTAAGAGATGCTTCTTTCTCCTAACTTCATAGCGGCTATGGTTGTTGTTGCCAATTTTAGGGAGCAACATTTTTTTCTCTGTTATCTTACCTAGCTTTGTATCAAATTTATAAATTTTTTTCTTAAAAGGTAAAATAAGAATTAATTACATTTGAATATGTTAAACCTTATCTCATATCTTTGTTTATTTCTGTCATATAAAAACTGAATTTTCATGATACTATCCCTACTGGAAGTTCGATTAAATAATAAGGTACATTTATTCCATATGCATGTGTATATTCATCTCTCAAAATTTATTTAACTCTGAATTACATAAATAGATTTGCATAATCAATATATCTCAATACTTCTATTCCTTGCCTACTCTCACAGGTTGCAACCAATAAGTGTAAGTTACTGCTTAATTCAGTAGCTAACAACAATAGTATTGATAGCCTAAGTTGAATTTTCTGGTAACAAACTGCATACCTGGTTGAGCAATCTCCATTCTCTGTTCCTTTTCCAAACATTTTTTTTTTTTGCTACATCTTTTTAATTACATTGCACTATGTGACAATTTCATAGTCTCTCGGATTACCCCTAACCCCTCCACATACCCTTCCCCCATGGTGGGTTCCTCCACCTTGTTGCAGTTCAAAATCAGTCAAGACTCTTTCATTGCAAGCATATACCAAGTATAGAGTCCAGCATCTTAATGTCCATATAAATTCAACAGTTTCTTCGGGAGACCAGCTCTTGTCAGAACGCAGAGCTGGCAGAATATCATCCTGATCAATTAAAAGCTACAACATAACATCAGCAACAATTAACAACATCACTGAATTAATTGGCAAGGTGTTGAGTAACCAATATGTTAGAAGATGCAGGTTCTTAACCACATCTTGTGATTACTTCAAACTTTGTTCAATAAAATAATTATTATATTGAAGTTAACATAGAGGTTAAGCAAAAATATGCTGGATATAGTTCAGAGTGGTAGGAAGTTTTAGGGGACAAGCAGTTTGATTTTGTTTAGTTTTTAATGGCAGCACGCTTTTATATGTTTCGGTTGATGTAGGTTGCAACATGGAAGCACAGCCGGGCCATTTATGAAGTGCTTCTGATATGTAAAGTAGAAAACACAAAATATACTCTAAGGCAACAGAAACTACTTTTGATTCATTAGTGAATAGTCAATTTATACATACTAATTAAGCAATATTTCTGTAAACAACCAAAAGGTCTACCATTTTGCAAACTACTCTGAAATAATGGTTATCCTTTCAAAGCTAAAATTCAATGATAAAAATCAAACTTAAACACCACAAAAATAACAATTCTTAAGCATGCAATATTTCATGAAGTGTGACTGACATGAGTCATTTACAACAGATTGAAACATTATTTATCTTCCCCAGGACTTTTTCATTAGATTCAGATAAAAATTTATTCAATGGGAGTTTCCCCTTCCCAATCTTGTTGCTACTTCAAATTTGTAATACTCTGATACTTTTAAAATATAGAAAAAGACCAATTTTAATGAAGATTGTCTCCCCAAAGTGAATTTTGTAACTTGTTAAGGTTATTAAAATGTGATTCTATATAATTATAAATTTATTTTCAATGCCACAGAAATTGAGTTAAGCCCCATATTTTAATTACTTACTAAAATAGTCTGAGATAATTAAATATGTTAACTCAACAAGGAATGGATAGAGACATAAAATACATCTTACAATAGTAACATAAAATATATGTTATAATTGTCCCCTCTTGCTTTAATTATTGCAGCCATACTCAGATTAAGCTTTTCTACCTTTTAAATAGTTAAAAGCCAACTATTTTAATTCTCATTATTAGGATAAATACTTTATGAAAATTCAAGCATCTAATTCAATATGCATGAAAATTTAATATGCATCTCATATATAATCAATCAGATGCTTTTCCGTTTAAGCACTCCTTAATTCATATCCAATTCATATGAATTCATATCCAATTCATAGCCTTGTTGGGGCTTTTAACTGACCAGATCTTTACTCTGTTAGACCTATCTTCAGACCATAGAAGGTCTCCCCAAGAGGCCACTGAACTTATCTGGACTTTATGCTAGGCATGTGTTTGCAAGCAATGAATCTCAACTGAACTTGAACTATGGTTATGCAACAAGGTGGAGGAATCCACCATGGGGGGAGGGGTATGGGAGGGGTGGGGGGAATCCCCAGCGCCTATAAAACTGTACTCCATAATACAATGTAAGCAACAATAAATAAAAAAAAATGAAAGACAGGAGATCATGTTGAGGAGGATATGGTAAAAAAAAAGAAAAAAGATATGTTTGCAAGGAGTGGAAATTAGTACAGCATTGTGAAAATGGTATCTGTCCAAAGGAAATGAACTCCAATTACTGAAGAGTTGCCTGTACTCTTATGGTTAATATGGCACTGTTTCCAAAGGTCAAAATAAGGAAACAACCTATGTGTGTACTGAAGGATGAGAAGATGAAGCAGATGTGATATAAGTACAATGGAATGCTTCTGAATCATAGAGGCAGAGAAATCCTGTCAGTGTGTAAACTGGAGGACCCTCTATTAAACAAATGCCACATGAAAGCAAGGATGGGGCTACAAGTTGCCCTCTCTTCAATGTGCATAAATTGTGTGTGGACCTATTCCTTTGTGTGTATGCTCTAATGGCACCCTATGGTACCTCAATTATCACTGTTTTGTTTACATTGAACTTTTCTCTCTTCCCCTTAAAATAGGGTCTCCCTGGAATCAAGATCTGTTACTCATTCATTACTGTGTCTCCATAGCTTTTATCCATGCATCTCAGTGTTCGTGTCTCCACCAAATTTCTATGTGAACCCCAAGAATCAAGGTTGTGAGATAAGCAGATTTTGACTTTAAAAGGTGATTAGGTCATGGTGGTAGAACTCTCATGAATGGAATTACTGTGCTTATTAAAGAGGCTCCAAAGAAATCTCACACTACCACTCCAGTCAAAGGAAGACATGCCTGCAAACGAGGAAATGGGTCATCCCCAGGCACTGAACATGCCAATGCCTTCCTCTTGGACTTTGCAACCTCCAGGACTAATCAGAAAATGGGTCATCCCCAGGCACTGAATGTGCCAACGCCTTTCTCTTGGACTTTGTAACCTCCAGGACTATGAAGAAGAGATTTCTTCTTTTCTGAATTACCCTGGTTATGCTATTTTGTTCTAGGAGCCTTTACAGACTAAGAACCATTATTTCCTCAAATTATATACTCAGGAAAGGTGTTGTTACTTGATGATGATTCTGACTTCCTGTTGTATCCATATGCCTAAAAAGTTCTGACACATGGTCAACCACCAAGATGGATTTCTTGAAGGAATGAATGATTCAATAAAGTGGTATTCTCCTTAAAAAAAAAACTAGTAATACCTAACATGTCAAGCATTTGGCTTTTAAAGGTCAAAGCACTGAACATTTATCATCTTCCAAAGCCTCACTGAGAAAGGAAGGCAGAAATACTTTCCGTTAGTGTGACTGAAATAAAACCTCAAACCTTGTAGTTCTAAGAAGAGCTTAGAACAGATCTTTCATAGTTCCAGAATCTAAAATATTTCTAAATAACCACTTTAATTTCTAGTAACATAAATTGACAATCAGAATATATAAAGATCTAACATGTATTTTGTAACAGGGGTTGAGAAAACTAGTGTACCTCTGTCAAAGGTTTTATCTGGAATTTCAAGCACGTAAGGATCTTTCTGTAAAGTTTCCAACTCACCGTCAGATAAACTGCAAATAGAAAAAAGCAGCTCTAAGTTACTTTTCCAAGAGAAACTACACACACTTCACGAAAATTACCACTGCCATAAAGTAGCTACTCTAACTAACTCAATATCGTTGTAGAAGCAGATCTTCTAGAACGATTCTGAACAAAACACTCTTTCATATCTCCCAGTATTTATCCTGGGAATACCAATATTTGTTGCTTAAGAATAGTGTGTTCTACTGAAGCTTGGAATTGCTTTTTTTTCACGTCAAAATGAGACTACCGTGAATACTGTGACACAGAGCCAAATGACTGAAATGAAGAGCTTATCAAAGTCAACCAATCCCACTCCATCATTTTGCAACTGAGCAAGTTGTTTAAATGAAGTATAAAAAATGACAAGTGCCAGGATTAAAACACAAACTTTATGGGTCTGAGAAACGTAAGCTTTTCATTGTAATTTGATCACAATGGTAATTTATCTTTTAAATCAGCAATTCTGCAAAATCTTCCTACTACTTTATTACTTAAACATTTTATATTACAAATGTAATTTCTAAAACAATCTTCTTAGTTCTTGATCATCAGAGCTGAGAGTAGAAAAACAAGCAAGAATGCTGAATACTCAGCACACTATGGTAAGAAATCATTTCTGGGAAGACAAAGACCATTCTCACGGTACACTTATTTTCCCCCTTCTATTGTACATCGCATGTTTATTCTCTCATCCAGCTAAATATTGCAAAACAATGTCAATTTATGCAGAAAATGAGGACTTGAGATAATATGATTGCTCTTCACGTATTTATCAAAAGATGTTGATATTTGGAGCATAACTGTGTCAGAGCTTCATCCTTTATATTTCATCCTTCCGACCCCAGCAACTCTTGCTTGAAAACCTAATTTTTTTTCTATACATGTCTGTGCTGCATCTCCAGCAAGACAGTGTGAGTTTCACTTCAACATGGGTTCCAGTGGGGGCTTGGAGTGGTATGTGCAACTTTAGCTTCCATGTGCAAAGAGGCATCTCTACAAGGGAGTCACTTGACTGACAAGTGAACAGATCTAATCACGTCAGTGGGGAAAAATGTGGTTTCCACATCAGTAACCCGACACAAGCTGCTGATTCAGGACCACATCAATATGAAAATGTGAGAAACAAAATTTGATACAGATATATCACAAAGTTTCTTCCAAGTAGTAGTTCAGGGACCTAAGTATTTCAGCTGGAAAAACACTACTGGATACTTTACAATGAAATATGCCAGGTTCACTGGAAAACTTGCTACATGTCCTTATGACAGAATTATCTAATTAATGAAATAACAATACAATAAACTTTTAAAATGTTAATGCTAAAATACTCACATTGGCATATCAGAAGTCATTTCTTTCTTTAGGCCACTGAGGCTTCTTTTAGCAGTATAAGCATCCCACTTAAAAACAACAAAATATTATTAAAATATCTATGCAAATTTAAATGAAAATAAGCAGAAATATCACAGTGACAGCAGAAATATCTCAGCCAATGCACATATAATTCTAAGTAAAACACATTGAAGTTAAGAAATTATTGAAAAAATAAATGAGTTTCAGGTAAGCAAATCCCTGCCAAGAAATGGTGCTCTCTATGTAAGATCAAGAAGAGTTTGGCCAAGTAATAAGCTAAGGGCTATATAAAAGGATGCAAGCTCCAAGCAAACAAAAAAGACATAGAGTTTTAGACTTGGAAAGTTTGGTCAGTTACCTCAGGGCAATCATCACTAGAGAAAACAAACTGCCATTCAGTGAAATCATAAAGGTCTAAAACACTTTCACAGCTTGCTGGTAAAGAACACACCTTTTTATATAGCTGATATGATCAATGTCTGTTGGCTTCAATAATGCTGACAGAATTCTGTACATCATACTACATTTGTATTGATAAAAGGGTAAAACTTAAAGTATGCTATTCTTAGGAAACTCAGATTACATGCATTTTTATGGAAGGTAGCAAATGTCCAAAAAAATTTTACTAGCTTTTCATATAAACATAGGTACTATCACTTGGTCTATAATTCTCTACAAGTTAAAAGAACAACATTAAAAAAAGAACAACATAGTATGCAGCTTTTCACGAATTAAAAGAAATATAATATCAAAATATAATACCAAACTCATATTTATCAAAATTTAAGTACATGCTAAAAAGAGCAATGGCCAAAGAATAGGTCACATAAATATTTACAAAAATGATACCTTACTTATTTGTAGGCCTTGCTTTCAAAAAATAGTGCATGTGTAAAAACTTTTCCAGTATGTAATGATGTCATCAACTTTTACTAAAAAACTATACCAAAACACATTAAGAAAATACATAATTTACTAAACTGTTAACAATGTGGAAACACATTGTTTCAAAATGCTTTACTGTATTTTAACACATTTGCTTGTTAAATAGAAGACAAAATTGAATAACAGGTAATAAGCTAGTAATATTAAGGATATATATGAAAAATAATTCTATACAAACTAATGGCAAATTCTTGAGATTATTTATTTTATTATGAAAGACAAGGAGTCAGAGATTTTTTTCCATAAATTTATTCACTCCTCATCAGCCACACAGCCAGATACAGGCCAGACTAAAGAAGAACCCAGGATTCAATCTGGGTCTCCCACCTGGGTGTCAGGCACCAAGTTCTTCAACCATCAGCTGCTCTAGCCTAAGGTGCACATTAGCAGGAAGCTGGATAAGAAGCGGAGGAGCCTGGACTTAAATCAGGCAGCCCAACTGAGGACCAGGTATCCTAAGCAGCATCTTTCCTGCCACATGAACTACCCACCTACTTCTGAGCCTACAGCTTATTCTCAAAGGTTAAGACAAATTTCAGCCAGTGACTATGTTATACTCCATAACACTGTGTTCAGACACTGAGCACTCACACCTATAAAGCCTTCTGAGAGGTCTGCTAAGGAAACAGGGACATTCGCTCACTAATGGAACTTGAAACTGTCTCAGGGTAAAGACACAAAGAATGATCACAGTAAGGGCTGCTTTTGGGTATTGAAGGCAAGCTGCCAGTAAAGACAGTCATGTCCCACTTTAGAGAACTTGGGTTCAATTCATGGCTCCATCTCCTTGTTCTGGATTCTTGATCATGCACTCTGAAGCAGTGGTAATGGATTAATCATTTGGATCCCCAGCCATCTACATGAGAGATGTGGACTGAGTTCCAACTCTCGGCTTCAGCCACAGCCCGGCCACAATCATTGTAGGTTCTCAGGACAAAAGCAGTTATGCGCAGGGCTGTTTGTCTCTTTCTCCTTTTTCTTCTCTCCCTGGCAATTCTTACTCAAACAACATTTTTAAGATTCACTTATTTTTTTAAAAACGATTTATTTATCTTTATTGAAAAGTCAGATATACAGAGAGGAAGAGAGACAGAGAGGAAGATTTTCCATCCAATGATTCACTTCCTGAGAGACCACAATGGCCAGTGCTGTGCCAGTCTGAAGCCAGGAGCCAGGAACTTCCTCCAGGTCTCCCACATTCGTGCAGGAAGGCAAGGCTTTGGCCCATCTTAGACTTCCTTCCCAGGCCACAAGCAGTGAGCTAGATGAAAAGTAGAGCTGGAGGGATTAGGACCGGCGCACATATGGCATCCTGGCACGTTCAAGGCGAGGACTTTAGCCACTAGGCCACAGCGCCAGGCCCAAGATTCATTTATCTTTATTGGAAGGAGTGAATGAGTGGACCAAAGAGAGAAAGTTCTTCCCCAACTGTCCACACTTGCCTAAGCTGAGCTTATCCAAAGCCAGGAGTCAGGAGTCTCCTTCAGCTCTCCCACATGGGTGTATAATTCTAAAGGTTTTGGACTTATTCCCTTGTTATCCCTGGCCACAAGCAGGGAGCTAGATAAGAAGTATAAAAAGCAGGTCATTAACCGTCACCGCTATGGAATCATGGTTCATGCAAGATGCGGATTGATTCAATGGTTATATCCCTGTGCCCCCAAATAACTTTAAAACATGTTCTTTCTGGGCCCGGCGCGGTGGCGCAAGTGGTTAGGGTCCTCGCTTTGCACGCCCGGGATCCCATATGGGTGCCGGTTCTAATCCCGGCAGCCCCGCTTCCCTTCCAGCTCCCTGCCTGTGGCCTGGGAAAGCAGTCGAGGACGGCCCAAAGCTTTGGGAACCTGCACCCGCGCGGGAGACCCGGAAGAGGCTCCTGGCTTTGGATCGGCATAGCATCGGCCGTTGCGCTCATTTGGGGAGTGAATCATCGGACGGAAGATCTTCCTCTCTGTCTCTCCTCTCTGTATATCCGCCTTTCCAATGAAAAAATAATAAAAATAAATCTTTAAAAAAAAAAAAAACATGTTCTTTCTCTCATACACACACACACACACACACACACACACACACACACACACACACACACAAATACTACTCAGGCAAAAAAGTCTTAAACATCTTTCACAACAAAATGCATGCAAATGGAGAATATTCAGGTTTAATAATCAGTTTCCAAAGGACACGTCATCACTTTATGGGGTAACTAATCTCGGGGGTCTTCTGTTCAGCAGGTCCTGAGATCACTGAAGGGTGAAGTCACAGTGACCCTCTGCAGCAGAAATAATGGAGACAAACTGATAGTAGGGGATGTCGGTTTATTTGAAAGAAGTCACACGCTTACAAAGGGTAGGAAAAGGGGCAGGCAGAAAGGTGGTCCTGACAGTACTTCCACCCAACCACAATACTGTGACAGGCTACTAGATATGTCTGTCTCTTTGAACCCTTCAATAATGTTGAAGGTCAGGAAGCACAAAAAGCTGGCTGTGTCTCGGGGCAAACTCCTTACCTGCTGAACAGCAGAATGAATGTAACATTTGACTTCCTAGAGTTGTTTATAAAGGAAGTCCTAGCACAGTTCATTAAAGGGGCAGAGAAGAGAGACTGGGATGCAGCTCATCATTCTTGCTGCATGTCCAGTGAACAGGCCAGCTCAGGGTCTCAGCCAAGGACACGATGTGCGACAT